GTTTTAATGGCTCCAAAATATTCCCACATTCAAATAGACATACCACAGTATTTTTAACCATTTCTCCATTGTTTGGATGTTTCCAGTTACGAGTTGTTTTCTGTTTTGTTTTGTTTTGTTTTTGGAAGGAGAAGCATGATACTGCCACAAACCTTTGAACATAAATCATTGTACACATCTCTGGTTATTTCTTTAGGATAAATTCCTAGAATTGAATTACCAGATTAAATAGTATTTTAAAGTAGGAATTTCTGACAGTTAAAGAAATTCTTTGTCAGTAGGACATTCTATAAATATATATGATTATGATATCACTTTATTTTCCTCTTCTTTTTTTTTTTTTTTAAGGACAAGGCAGGAGTAGGAAAGACAAAGGGGGTCGTAGGAACTGGGAATTAAGAGAAACCTAGGGATGCAGAAACAGGAGACTCACAGAGCCTGCATATAGTCCAAGGCTGGGAAGATCAGGAGCCAGGCAGGCAGCAAGCATAGCAAACCCAAAGCACTAGCGCAAAAAATGCTTGAAACTGAGGTAGATACCAATCTTAAGGAGAAACTAGCTTGGGGCCTTTGGGCCACCGTTTTGTACAACTCCAGGGAGCATCATTCTTATTACCTGCTGTGAAGAGCAAGTGAGCAACATTAGGGAACTGGCCAGTGTCTTTAAAAGGTTAAAGATGAAAGATGGGATATAAATCTCTACCCGTGACATCTACTATCGAATACACTCTGTAGGAAAAGACTGAAGTTCATCTATGGTTCTGTCTCCCCAGGACAGTTTGGACATTAGCGAAATCAAAGTAATAAGCTAAAGGACTTAACCTTCAAGTGAGGGAAATGTTACGGGCAGTGGGTGAGCTGGGCCATTCCTGGGCTCCCTGACACCCCTGAGTGGGTGAGCTGCTGCCTGGGAGCCTCGGTACCAAGTCTGGTAATTGCAGAGTCTTTGGGAGGGCACCCGCACGCAGCGCCTCAGTTCAGTACACATGCCTTTAATTTGGTGTTTTTTAATTCAGCTCCAAGGCTGTCGTCAGCCATTTCTCCCTCTTTCCTTTAACACTGACCACCTTGTTCCCTTTTATACCCTGAACAGAGCCAAGCAGTGTGCATTGAAATCCAACATCCTTTGTGCTGTTTGAGAAATCTGAGGCTGACATCTCCGGGGCTTTTTTGTTTCTCTTGCCTCTCTCTGCCGTGACCTGCCAACTCCTTTTGGCTCTCCTGGGCTTTCGTCATGTCCCGTATCGATTGCTACCCTTTTCTTTGTTTGTGGGATGCTAAGGATGAACCCTGCAGCACAGTGACGCTGGCTTTGGACATGGTCAGGTCAGCCTCCAACCCCGAGTATATAGGTCCAGTGATATTTCACCAGACCAGGGTTGTTGTTGCATCAGCAGCTCATAATCCCTTCCTCTCTTTTTTTTTTTTTTTTTTTTAGGCTGTGCTGCCTGGCTTGCAGGATCTTAGTTCCGCAACCAGGGTTTGAACCTTGGCCCCTGGCAGTGAAAGCACCAAGTCCTAACCACTCGACTGCCAGAGAATTCTACCTACCTCTTTTCATTGTGGATTCTCTGATTCATTCATTCCTTTTTCATTCATTCCTTTCCTCAGAGTGGATTTGAGGGCAGGGGCATGTATGTTAGTAAATGCCAGAGCCACCATATTCTCCATATGAGAGTCAATTCTAAAAACGATGGTTACACACTGCTAGGTTGTCATCAAAGCTGTGAATTCATACAATAAGTTTTAAAAAAACACAGCAGTGACCTACATCCCCCTCTGAAGTTCCCTATTGCATTCCCTTTTTTCTTGCTGGCAAGTACCGTTTTCCTGTAAATCTAGCCAGAGATCCAGAAGAATCCTTTGAAGTCATCCAGTTTAACCTCTCAGTAGATGTTTGGCTCGCTCATGTTCGGTGTCTAGCCAGCTGCCCATTGAGTGAAGGATCCTCCCTCCCTTGCAAAGCAGCCTATTCTCATTTTGAACAGCTCTTGTCTCATCATTCATCCTTCAGCTAAGCCACAATTTGAATTTCTGGGCTTTCCATTTTTATTCTTGGAGCCACAAAGAACAAAATGGCTTCTACTTCTGTATTATATTCCTTAACACATTGTGGACTTTTGTTGTATCCTTTCTGAGTCTTCCCTTTATAACTTGAATATTCTCAATAAATTGGTCTGTTCATTCATTCATCAAATATTTAATGAACAATACTATGTGCCACACAAGGCACCAAGAAACAAAGATGAATATTGTATAGTTCCTGCCTACTATAAGTTTGAAGGAAAGATAGACTCATAAATATATAATGTCAAAATAACACAATATATGACATAGCTAGGCAGAGAAATTTACAAAAACTCAAGAGAGGAGTGACTTACCCAGTGAAGAGGAATTGTGGTGGTCATTTAATATTTCCTGGAGCAGATGCCATCCAAACCGTCAAGGGGGAGGTGGGAGATTTCTTGTAGAGAATGCAGCATGAGTAAAGGCCAAGAGATGAGCTATCATGTGTACTGTGCAGGAAAGAGACAGCAGTTCAGTTCAGTGTCCCTGGGGGCTAAAGTATGAAGCTAGAAATAAAGGAGACAGGGTTAAGAGCTAGATCATGAATATTTTTCTCAAATGACAAAGTATTCAGTGCCCTCTCCAAAAATTTTGATATTATCAGGAGAAATCATTGGAATATCTCCCAATCTCTGCTTGCCTCCTTCCCTACCCCTATTAATGAAGAAATTGTTATCCCTGAGGTGTCAGCTCTGGTAAGACCAATATACTCTAGTTGATGTTTTTGGAGCTAACCCAAATTACATTGAAAATACTCACCTTCCCCTCATTTCCTTCTAAAACCCAAGATCTTATTCTATAAGTTTCTACTGCCTCATAAGTCACCTAAATACTGTCTTGGTGGCTATAGACCTGATGTCACTGTGGTTGAGGTTATACAGTGAAAATGTGCTGATCACCAAACACCAAACTATCACTGTCTTTTCTGCTCTGCCTTGAATTCCATGAAGGCAGAAATCACCTGGTCTTAATCCCTAAAGCCTTAGCTTCAGGACAGTCATGTAGAAGACATTCATGTAACACCAATGCAGTCATCTGGTGTCAGTAGGTAATTAAAACCAAAAATGGATTCACATACATTCTGCTCAGAAGAACCTAATGATCAAGGCACATCTCATCCAATTCTCCTTGCTTTCTTCATTCTAGCCTCATCGTCTGTTTCTTGGACCTGGCATACCCGTTCTTACGTCAGGGATTTTACATATGTTCTTCCCTCTGCCTGGAACATTCTGTCCTCCTCTCCACCTCCCACCGTGACCCACTTAAAAGTAACTAAGTGCTCTTCACCTTCAGGAAGAGTCCCTATGTGTGGCTTTCCTGTTAGCCACTCTTACACTCTGCACTTGCCTTTTGTATGACTCATAAACTGAAAGATTCACTGCTGTAGCTCCAGGGCTTAGTCCAGTGCCAGGCACAAAGCTGGTGTTAATAAATATTAAATAAATTCATTATTTGACTACTGCTAAGTAATATCTCTGTTCAAAGAACACTGGAATTTTTCAAAGAAAACAGAATTAGAAGCCAGAAGTACAAAGACGAGATTTTAGTGGCTGTTGAATTATTAACTTCAATCTTTCAACGTATAATTGAAACGTATAATAATATATATTCAACGTATATATATTCAACGTATAATTCAACGTATATATTCAACGTATAATTGAAACATATAATAATATATATTCAACGTATAATTGTGAAAACAACCCTCTGAAATTCAGTTTTATTAATTCAGTCAATAAAAATTGCTAAGCATTACCTTGACATTTGCAGTGGTGGTATAGCTGTCAAGTTATACTTGGTCTTATCTTAACATTGAACTTTTCTGACTGAGTGCCCTAAGTAATTTTTCTGGATTAACTACTAAATTCTTATTCCTCATCTCTTTTTATCCAAGAGCAAAATTTAATCAAATGATCATAAATTTAGGAAGCTATATTTGTTGTAAGAGTATATAGAGAAATTAAATATCCAGTGACAAGGGACTGGTTAAACAAATGACCTGAGTGAAATATTATTTAGTCATTTAAGTGGATAATTACAAAGACTATCTAGCTGTATGGAAATGGCTTAAAATATACTGTGAATTAGGGAAAAAAATAGAATATAGTATGGAAACATAATGTAGCCATGGAGATGAAGATTTAAAAAGCAGATGAAAATAAAAAATAAGACGGTTTGTGAATTTGGGAGAAACGTTTAATTATGTATTACATACAAATTTTAGAGGGCTATATGTACATTGGATGTCAATTACTGTAGTCTACAGGAGTAAGTATGAAAGCTATATTAGAGTATAAACTATTCAAATTTGCATGCTGCAACAATAATGCATTCCTTGTCTGTATCTACAGCAAATTAAAACCTGTTTATTACTGAAAAGTGTCTCACATTTGCTATGACTCTAGAAGAGGTCCCTGCCTTCTGAAGTCAAACTTCCTTATTAATAGGAAAACACATTTCTTTGCTGGATAAATAGTATTAGAGCAACAATACCAGAAATAGCAGAAGGAAAACACCTAAATTTCACTACTCTGTCAAATCAGATGTTTTTCATGTGACTCATTTCCTTCCATTCTTTTTCTATGTGTGTATAATTTTTACAATGGACACTAATGATTTTTTTACATTTTCTCATATTACACAGTTTGTAAGCCTTTATTTCCTACTTCATAATGATCATTTTAATTGCTAATAAAGGAAGCATTTCTTAGAAGCAAAAATATAAGGCCCTTGAATTCTTGCAATGCAGGGACAAACCTGAGTGTTGTCCTGACCTTCCTTTGTCTGCTGACAGTGCACTTTATAGCTTTGCATACAAGGCTGTTATCACCTGATTTCCATTTGAGTAGTAAGATGATAACGCAGAGTACAAGGGGAACTAGGTTTAGGTGACAGCCACATCATTTAATGTCTGCTTATTGTTTCTACAGGGGAATTCTGGCCTGGGATTCAGTATTGCTGGAGGGACAGATAATCCCCACATTGGAGATGACCCTGGCATATTTATTACGAAGATTATACCTGGAGGTGCTGCAGCAGAGGATGGCAGACTCAGGTAAAGATCTGAAATGTTAGAATTATTTGGAAAGTAAATCTGCCACATCAATGAGACGTACTTGTGCCTTTGGAGAGTAATAATTCTCCAAAAGTTCTGTACTTGAAAGAGAAGACTGTCAAAGCAAGCTTTCTGTGATGACTTTCCAGATCTCTTATTACTTATTGAATTTCAGCTAGTATTTAATCTGTGTTTGTTGATGGCTACCACATTCAACATTGAGCCAGGCAGTGTGAGGAAGGGATACAGATGTATCTTTTGTTCCATGAGGCCTTCAGTCTGATTGGAAAGAAGAATACTATGAGCTGATGAGCAAATAATAAACTGTGTAGAGAACAATGTATTGTAACTATTGTAGTGTTAGCAAAGAAATTCCATGTTATGCACCTCGTGTGTGTTCATGGATTTGGCAACCATTTAAAAGGGCTTTCTGTAGGAGTTTGGATGGAAAGAGTCTGAAAAGCTATTCTGTAAGAAGATTCCAGTCTGAGTCTTAAAAAAATAATTTATTAACCCCACAACCCTGAATGAGAACACAGAGGGAGAAGAAGCAAGTGGTCCCAGGAAAGAAGGAAATCACGTGTCTTGGATGAAAAGCACCAGGTGAGGTTCTGTAGCCGGATCTTGCTCAGGATAGAATAGTGGTGGCTTGAGCCAGGGACCCTCTCTTTGAAGTACTAAAGATTATTTGGCAAAATAAAAGAGTCACCCACATGGGGCTCTTGGTAAATAATATAAAATTCTATCAGAGATCAAAACACTAGCTAGGGGCTTCCCTGGTGGCACAGTGGTTAAGAATCCGCCTGCCAACGCAGGGGACACAGGTTTGAGCCCTCGACCGGGAAGATCCCACATGCCGCGGAGCAACTAAGCCCATGCGCCACAACTACTGAGCCTGTGCTCTAGAGCTCGCAAGCCACAACTACTGAGCCCACGTGCCACAGCTACTGAAGCCTGCGCACCTAGAGTCCGTGCTCCACAACAAGAGAAGCCACCGCAATGAGAAGTCCGTGCGCAGCCCCCGCTCGCCGCAACTAGAGAAAGCCCGCGCACAGCAACAAAGACCCAACATAGCCAAAAATAAATAAATAAAACACTAGCTAAAGGAATTGTAGATTGAACAATTAGGAGAGATTTCCTAGGGGAGAAAAGCATGTCCCGATGTTATTTTAGCACCTCTACTAGATTGTAAATCTCCTCAGGCCAAGCAGTTATATTATAGATGTGAATCCATAAATTCTTGCTGAATGAAAGAGAGAGTTTTTGAATGAATGGATGAATGAGTGAATAAAATGAGAAGAGAAAGGAGGGTAAATTAATGAGTGGAGAGAGAGGGTAGCACAGGCCAAGGCCTGTAGGTAAGAATGGTTTTAGCTTGCATGGAGCCACACTGAAAACTCTGACCTAAGTGGCAGAAATGTAAGCTTTGGAGCCCTTCCTCAGTCTGCTTTTTTAAGCATAAAGAAGCTAGCTTACTGGTTTTTTATAAAGCAGCCAAGGACACTTTTTCCCTATCCAACTGTTCTGATGCAGTGATTACTTTGGACAGCTGCATCTTTGCCGCTTGTGGAGGAAAATCACACTTTTTTTTCCAGGTACATCGGCATCCCCTATCAACAACAAAAGAAATAAGTGATGCTCCCACAGAAAACACATGCTTTTTGAATAGAATTTTCAGGCTGAATTGACTAAATTAATTTCTGGGTGAGGGAATGTCCATGCTGCAGAGTGAGAGATTAGAACTAGATGCTGTGTAATTCTAGGACTCATGGTGGGGATAGTGATTGCTAATACTGGACCCTGGAGAAGCTCCATTTTAAAAGTTTAGAAATAAAGTTGTTAAAGGAAACTTCAGAAAAGTGGGCCACCATCATTATTTCATACCACTCTTTACCTAGAAGTAGGGGAACTTTCGCCTCAGCCAAACTTTGGCCCTAAGCTTCAGATAAACTTCATGTTATGTTATTCTACAATTAAGAATGAAAAATGGCATCTCTTAGAGTACCACCACCCTTTGCTCATGCCTACGGAGATAAAGGGAAGTTCTGCTGTGTTGGGAGCATCATTCAATAGTTGTAAAGAGAATAATCATAATGACAGCTAACATTTATTGAGCTTTCACCATGTGTGGAGCATTGGGCTAAGATAGATAGGTAGGTAGATAGATAGGTTGGTAGGTGGGTGGATGGTTGGATGGATGGAAACATAGATTGATTGACAGATAGGTTGGTAATATAAATAGAGATGTAGGTACACACAGACACACACTATCTTCTATACACTTACCACAGCCATATGAGGCAGGTACAGTTATTATGGCCATAATAATATGGACTCAGGAAATTAAGAATTAAATATTTTAAGAAGATCACCCATCTAACTTTGAATACATTCCAAAATCGAGTCCTGTCTATCGCTTAAGTACTCTCTAAACGCTAATTCAATAGGGGAATCCCCTACCTCATGTGGTCCTGGCCTAAAAATTCCCAAAGATAAAGTTTTTCACAATGGTAATGCGCAACTCTGAACAGTTACGAAGTTTGCTATTTTTCTACTGAGCCACAGTTGTTTTTATTGTGAACTCTACCCACTGGTCTGCATTCTGGCTTCCTGGAGCCAGGGCCGTGACCTATGACTGTGTATGTGAATTTTGCCTCGTGAGGTTGTGCAGTGAATGACCTGAAAAGCTCTGAACAGTGGTCCTAGCAGGAGCAACCCTATACCAACTCCCCAGTCTGCATCACAGCCTTGTGCCTATGTGAAGACAGCTCTGGTGCGGGTCTCCAGTTCTTTGTGATAGATCCTTGCTACTACCACTGAGACTGTTTCCCACCTTACTCCTTCCTGCCATGAACTTGAATGGTTTGGGGACATCTAAGAGTTCAAGAATAACACTCAGTTGAAAATCTGGCAGCGTGACATTAAGATAGATTTCAGAATTTAGCAATTTATCTGGTTCAAAGCCTACTTTTTACAGATGGGAAAGCTGAGGCTCAGATGAGTGATTTATCCTGAGGCATAAATCATTTGGGGGGTCTGTTTTAACTAGACTCCAAATGTCTTTTTCTTAAACTTTTTATTTTATATTGGAGTATAGTTGATTAGCAATGCTGTGATAGTTTCAGGTGGATCTCAAAGTGATTCAGTTATACATATACATGTATTTATTCTTTTTCAAATTCTTTCCCATTTAGGTTGTTACAAAATATTGAGCAGAGTTCCCTGTGCCATACAGTAGGTCCTTTTAGGCTATCCATTTTAAACATAGCAGTGTGTACATGTCAATCCCAAACTCCCTAAATATCCGTTCCCCTGACCCTTCCCACCTGGTAACCATAAGTTCGTTCTCTAAGTCTGTGAGTCTGTTTCTGTTTTGTAAATAAGTTCATTTGTATCATTTCTTTTTTGATTCCACATATAAGTGATACCATACAATACCTACAATATTTTTCTTTCTCTGTCTGACTTGCTTCACTCAGTATGACAATCTCTAGGTCCGTCCATGTTGCTGAAAGCATTATTTCATTCTTTTTAGTGTCTGAGTAATATTCCATTGTATATATGTGCCACATCTTCTTTATCCATTCCTCTGTCGATAGACATTTAGGTTGCTTCCATGTCTTGGCTATTGTAAACAGTGCTGCAGTGAACATTGGGGTGCATGTGTCTTTTCGGACCCTTAGACTCCAAATGTCTTGACTCAAGTAATTAATGATCTAAGGTAGTGTTAAGTGGCAGTAACACCTAAGCCCATCTAAGAAGTCTTTTTCTCAGTGTAACAGGAACACTCTTTGAAGCTGGACTAACAATGTGTGAGGAGTGCTTTCTATCCCACCATTAGTCCTTGTGAACATGGAATCAGCAAATAACAATGAACTCTGGAAAGATGTAGGTTCTGATGCCTGTATACTAACATAGTTGATTTTGGAAAGATTAAACTCCTTTGGTTGCTGTTTTCTTATCTATAAAGTGATGACAATTACACCTTTTCTGAGGATTCAGTGAGATAACCTAAGTCCCTAGCTATGCCAAGCATATAGTACATGCTCAGTAAATTTTAGTAATGTTTCCCCCTTTTCCTTACCAGCCCTCTCTACCTCTCAGTGGTCTTTCCCCTTCTGTTGCTTCCATTCCTTCTTCTTTTTCTCTCCTCTCATCCCTTCCACCTTTCTTTCAGTTCCCGTTCATCCTCTACGGCCTTCCCTAAGCTTCCTGTTCCTATCTTTTCACATGCCCTATTCTCTTGATCATAACATGAAATTAAAATCCATTTAGAAACAGGTATGGTACTAAAAAAGGTTCTGTGTTTCTATTCTCAAGTTTATAATACAGTCAACTGAATCTGCTATGTTTCCCTTACTTAAAAACTAAGCCCACAAACTAAACATAGTTTTGTTTTTGTTTTTTTTTAAGTTGACAAATTCTTTGGTGCTGTGAGTTAGGAACTTGTAAAAACTTTTCTGATGTATCCTTCACATTATAAATTATATTTTTAACAGTTAAATAATGCTAAAAGTGAAAGAGAAGCTGAGGCCCAGAAAAGTGATGTGTTGGGTCTGCTCCAAGGAGAGTAGTAATCTGGACTTTTCAGTGGATATGTAATAATCAGGTCAATAATCATAATAGCAAGGACCACATAGTACTTCAGTGTACCAAGTACTTTTCTGACACATTAACTCATTTAAAGTGTATAACAGCTTGACGAGACCTATACTTTTATTACTCTCTCTTTTCAGGTAAGAAAATCAAGGAACTGAGATAAGAGGTTAAGTAACTTGGCAAGATTGTAAATGTTAGAGCCAGACTTTGAACATAGGCAGTCTGCGTCTAATGCCCATGTATTTTATATTCTAAGTTATGCTGCAGGGGGAAAAAGAATGATATTTAAAAGACACACTATGGTAAGCAGTATTCTAAAAATGCCACACCTCATGATTCCACACCCTAATCCATAGAACCTGTGACTTTGATGAGCTATCACTCCTGTGATTTTGTTACAG